GGTCTCTTTCTTGACCTGGTCTACCTCAAAGGGCTGGCCTCTGGTCTCAAAAACTTGTTTTAATGTTATTTCTAGTGTTATACCTCTTTGTTTTTACCGGTGCTGCTTCTTTCCAACTGCCAATCTTAGGACTATAATAAAGCTTTGATTTGCTACATGCAACAAGCTCAAGGTAACCCTTAGAAGAGAAAGGTATACTGCAGAAGGATTTGCATTCTACTTAATCCAGCTCTTGGCAACAGAAAGATTCTCCCAGTTTCTTTTAACAAGATTTCAGGAAGGGGATCAGAAAAGGTTACAGAACTCTCAGCAACTGGGCTGCTTTCACTTGGAAATCTAATTTATCTCCCAGATTCTTGGGCAAAGACCCCTTTCAGTCTTTTATTCACGGTCTCTGTGTGATCTGGTGAGAAGACTTTTTCTTAACTGGAAACAGGGAATGTCCACGTGGCCAGGATGTGAATCCCAGTGCGCCCTGCTTCTGCCGAGCAACCCAGGTCTCTTCCTTCTGCTAAATATGAACGGGTGTGTCTGATGTCCCCATGGGATCACTGCAGCCTGCCAGTCCTATCCTTAATGAACCTGTTACTAGAAATAAGGAGGAAGGCGACCTCTTTCTTCCCTTTACTCTCAACCAAAGGGGCTTCTTCACATGTTGGCCTCATGGCTGCGAACACAACAGTGAAGCTGGTCTTCTCCTCCCAGCGAACGAGGCACCCCAACCAAGTTGTAATTTTGGCTAGGACACGTCTGTTGCTCATCTGCGATGGGGGAAGGGGCACACACCATGGGAGGCTGCTGTCCATTACAGCTTGGAGGGAGGGTGCACGGCCTGAGGAAGACCCAGCTGCTCTTGCTGGGACTCCTCCTTGGAAGCCCCCTGGGGAGGGTCCAATCAATTTGAAATTAACGTTAAAGGGAAATCCATTTTCAGGGGTAAATTCAACTGAATTCTATTTATTCCAAATCAGATTAGAGATGGGGAGAAAATAATGTATTCCAATTACCTTTATGATTGTGAGAACAGGCGGGGAAAGAATGTTATTTTCGTTAGGTATATGCCTATATTTGCTCTCATTTTAATTAACCCCATCCCATCCCATTTTGGGGCTAGCTGTGGCTGCCTCTGCCACTCTCCATCTTTCCTCATTAGTGTAGCTAGAGGAAAAGTCAGACTGTTGCAGCTCAGAGATATTTTAATTATCTCGAAAGTAACACTACAGTATTAGAAAGAATAACAAAACAAGTCTAAAGGCCAATAAATACAAACACTGCGAGTATTTTACATACACTGAAAGGAAATAAGTAGCATTTGACAATACAAATGAAACAATGGACTATTGTATGGTTTTATGACATGTGCTTGTGATCCCCCGCAAACGGTTCAAATACAGAGAAAACCAAAGGGACTGAAAATTATACATCTTAGATAGACACACAAGAAACCAGATCTCAGTTCTGCATATCTGAAATCAGAGCCGACGACGCACGCAAGGCAAACGCGTGTGGAGGCACCCGTTTCCTGTCTCGGAGCACCTGCACCGCGCTGCTAGGCGGCAGAGCCTTCCGGCACCTCCCGCCACCCCTCCTCCGAGCAGGTGAGGCCCCTGAGCCTCTGGCTGCCGTCCGGGAAAAGAGGCGGGGAAGCAGCGCTCGACCCACCTAGTTGCGCTTTCCACAAGTCACTTGGTGAAGTGTTATTTCCTGTTCGGCTTTGACATGTAGGTGGTACAGCATCTAAACCATAATAAGCCAACTTCCGAGTGTTAGCATACAACATAAAGACCCATGTGTTTGGTCGCCATATTACAGAGAACACGTTATCTTGCCTCCATGAATAAGGGAATAGTTCTCTCAACAGAACCACCACATTCCAGATCTAATGCCCACAAGTATCAGAATGCATCAGAATAATTCACATTAGAGCAATAGCTTTACTGGCCAATACAAGGTGACAAAAAGTGCACAATTGTTTCAACTCTCAGTAGCATCTACGGAGCGTTGGTTGAAGAAGAACGACTGCTAGCCCCTCAATTATCTGATTCTGTTTCTTATGTTGTGTCATAAATAAGGTGGAAGGCCCAACTTCATTCTTGCTTATATTCCCCCCTCACTGTATATTAAAACAAAGGGAAAAGTTTAGAAGATGACCCGGCTCTATAGTATGATTTAAAACAACAAAAAAATCAGGTATATATTGCACTATTATTCACTTCCTGTGATTCACAGAGGGCACAGTCCACCAGGGAGGGCCCTTATGCAAGTTTTTCTAAAACCAGCTGGGATCTTGTTATCACATTAGTCTGCATCAGCACAGATGAGCTGGGGCAGAAGATTTTCACAGGGATCAGATCAGGCTATCTCCTATTTTTCTTAAAATAGTTACTGAAGTCACTTAAAACAGTTACCAAGTTACTTAAAATGATTTAAACAGGAATGAGGGAGTTTTCCCCTATGGTACTTAAACAGCCGCTATGTCTCTTAGGCAGAGCCACTCTCTCTCAGCCTTTTGCTGGGATCATCCCAAACCATGTTCCATCAACCAGTTCCACCTTTTTAGAGGCCTGCTCCTAAAACAAGAAGCTAGATTACGCTCTGGCCCACGGTCTGATCCTGATTAAATCATCTAAAGGTCATCTGTTGATTTATATGCAGTATTCAAATTCTGCCCCTTCCTTAATGGCTCAAGGAGAGCTGTTGGAACAGCTATTACTTGCAGAAACTCCTCCAGAATATAACCTTTCCCACCAGCCAGTGCTGCTTTCTTGTCTTTTTCAACAATGGTAGACAGGCAAAGAAAGACAGAAGAAAAATGAGTTTTTAAATTCTTTAGCAGAAAATTCTTTCCAACATGCCATGTCTCAAATGTAATTTAAAAGATAATGATTCTATACCGTGCATAAATACATTCTGCATGTGTAAGTTTTACAGCTGCATGCTTTCAGCTGTCATTTATGTCATGTAAATGATCACTCCTATTGAGAAAAATGCAATGGATTTTAGGTTTAACATTCTCTCTCGTTTCCAGTTTTACAAGGAACCGACTAATTCCAGTATTGGGAGTAACCAAGGACAATTCTGCCTTTGTCAAAGTGGCTGGCAAAGTACACTGCAGGTCTGCAATGAAATAGCCAACCCAGTTTCTCATGTATGCCCCGTGACTCACAACCAGGATGTTGGCTGCCAGCCCTCCTGCAGCTCCTTCAGAATTAGAATCACATTCCAGTCCACCATGGTGGTTTGGCAACAATCTGGTAGAACTTCCTTTGGCCATTTCTGTATTGTTTCCTTCTGAACTTGGAAAAACTTGCTTTTCTAGACATGCCTCCTGGGCAACAAGATTGCAAATATATTCAAAAAAATCCTTGACGCGGGCTTTTACCTAAAGCAAGGAGAAATCAGAACAAAATTGTTGCAAAGTTATTGCAAGTTAAGTTTATCAGATGAACTCTCAAATTCTGTCTCAATTTCCCTCTGAATTGAGGGGACACAAATTCCTCTGAATTGCTCCTCTGAACCTCCAACTAACTTGGCTGAACGTCTCCATTTTCCACATCAGCCGAAATAAACCTGGACATTCCAAGACCTTGGTTCATATTCATCCCCTGTGGCCCTTAGTACTTCCTGTACCTGTTCTTCCTCTTCACAGGTGAGCAGCCACGAGGGCAACTCCTCCTTCCTCAACCACTGACTGGAAGTGCCCACTGAGGATGGAGCGGAACCACTGTCAGTCAGTGTCCCCAATCCCCGCAGGTGGTCCAGCGTAATCATCAATGGTACTGAAGGCCCTCGAGAGGCCTAACAGGACCAAGAGAGGTGCACTCCCCACATCCAGGTCCCAACAAAGGACCTCCACTACAGCAATCAGTCCTGTGACCAGGTCTGAAACCTGACTGACAAGGATACAGATAACCTGTTTCATCAAGTATACTCCGTAGCAGAGACATTACCACTGTCTCCCAAGAATGACTGGATCCAGGGAGGGTCTCTTCAGAAGGAAGCTCGCCACAGCTTCTTTCAAGGCTGCTGGCAAAATCCCGTCCTGAACAGAAGTACTGAGAAACTCTTAAATCCAGTCAGTCACACGCACACACTCTGAAAGGGCCAGGAAGGGTATGGGTCAAGGCCACAAGTGATGGAGATCATATCAGAGAGCATCCTATCCGCTTCCTTAGAGTTTATAGGACAGAAGAAATCCTAGATAATAAAGTCAGGTGTTGCCGCTGTCATCACATTGGACTCTGCTCATGAGGAATCAAGACTCAGGTGAATCTGAGAGACTCTTTTGGCAAGATGCTGTCCAAATTGATCAGGTGGGTGTAGGGGGACTTTTTGTTGATGCCTCCCTAAAAGGGAGTTTGGCATCCAAAGAGGGCTGCTAGGTGATAGCCTGCCAAAGCTAAAATTATATGTAAATCCTTCTAATAAATACAATAATTGTATTGTTCAATTTTATGTTTATCATTTTTCTCTTAATCTTTATTTTTATGCTCTCCAATCACCTTGAGCATCAGTTTGGAGGGAAAAGCAAGAAGTAAATCTAATGAATCAACAAATAAACTTCCTGGATTCCCTCAGTGATATAACGGTAGTTCTACCTCTTGTTTATACTGTGTTATCCTGTAAGTGTTTGTGCAACAACGGTGCTCTATATAAACAGGAATGACAAAATGAAAGCTGACTATGTAGCATCATCATCAAATATTGCGTGAAACTTATGAACTGAAGCAACTGTCCACAGAGGCAAATTACTAGGAGTAAATTATGCCTGTTTCTGAATGACATGTACTTGTATGTTGCCTCCATGGATGTGCGTGTGCGAGATATGTAGCTGATGCGGCTGTACGCTGGAAGGAATATAAACGATAAACTTGCGTGTGAAGTGTGAATACGCATGAAGGTGTGAAAGTTTTGCACTCGTAGTGCAAATGCTGCATCTATGAATGATCTACAACTGACCCGTCGGAAAGGCTGGCACCCACGTCTACCAGCCACGGGTGCGCGAGTCCACATGCGCCTTAGCCGCCTCTTCCTTCTCCAGTTCAGCTCCAGTCTCTCTGCCTGCTGGAGGCATTTTAGCAAGACCTTTGCTGCTCTGGGGGAGTCAGGGTCAGTCCGGCCACTCACAAGTGCATAAAGACTCAGTCAGTCACTTCGCAACGGACTACAAGCCCGCCAAAACACCATCCTTACTTGATCCAGTGTTTCTCCTCCGGGAGGTGTGAAAGAGGGATACTGCTCCCCAGCAGCTTTGGCCATGGTCTTAAGATCGCCGAGAGGCCTCCCTTCTGCCACTCCGTACTTCTGTCAAGACACGAGAGCATTACGTGGCGGCGGCAATGATGCCGCTGGCATCCCACACCGAAGGGCACCAAGAAATGAAGCAAAGCAGCTCTCCCGGTGCAGCTCCTGTAGCAGCCAAATTACCTGCTTGCCCTCCATCTCTCCCCGGCTTCACCCGCCACCCTAACGTTCGCTCAAAATCTGCCTTCCTGTAACCCGAGCCCGTCCTGCCACATCCCGCAACTAAAAGGCTGGAGAAATTGTGATAAATTATTCATTTAATATGGCTATCGTATTCTGTTAAATTTAAAACCTCTCCAGTGGCAGGTAGTAGGACTAGATTTGCTGAGTCAGAAGCTGCCTGAATTTATTCTGATGACAAATGCATTTCAAACTCTTGCTGCCCTCGCCCGGGGCCCTCGCCCAGGATCGCACGCCTGTGTTTCCTTCCACTCTTTCATGGCTCTTCCCGTGGCAGGGAGTGGGTTGGGCACTGGGCGGCAAGGCAAGGCTATTGTGGTCGGGCGCTTGTTTACTCGCTGGACCCGATGTTCGTCAGCCATTACAACTTTAACGGTTGTCTAAACAGATGAGAGAAGCTGCTGCTTCTCCTGAAAAGTACCCAACTTCCTGCTTGTGTGCTGAAAGGCAATTTACTTTTCCACATGGCCTGCTGGTGTTTATCTTTGCCTCTGTTTACGGAGATGGATTATTTCCTTTTCCTTTCCCGCTTTTCACCCTCCTCTCTCTCAGTTCTCAACGACCCAATCGCAACTCTCCAATGACTCCCCTCTCCCCACCTTCCCTGCCTGATAAGGAAGGGCCCAGTTAACTCTTTCAGTGCCCCGGTGGAATGCCAGCAATCTGCCGTGCCATCACACCGTGCACACCATCAAAATTAAACAAAAAATTTGATCCAAAGAATTAAAATTTCAATGGATTCAAACGTATCTATCTAACCCCCCCCCATCTAAACTACAGATTCCCACAAAATCTGATGATGTAGGTATTTCAAAGATAAAACGCAGGGTGTGAATAGGGAAGAGGTCTTTTTATCACTTCCTACATTTAGTGCTGGGCAGGCAAGGCAGGCACTATGCTGTACACTAAGACCATCCTCTTGGCAAGGACTGTTTTCCTGGGCGACACTGGCTGAGGCCCCTCTTTCTTGAGGCAGAACAGCTGCCCCACCTGGTAACGGTGGTCTCTGCACGCGCACAGAGCTGCAATCCGCAAAGCAAGATCGGTCCGGTCTCAGCCCGATTCTACTCAGTTCGTATTACATCTGCGCCACGGTCCATGCACCTGCCCTGCCCAGTTCAGGGTGCAGACATGAAATCTGGTATTGGTCTTCAAGTTACAATGGAATACTTACCCGTTCTCGAAGGCGGGCATCACATTTTACAGGAATCTCTTTGCAGTACTGACTATTTTTAAGAATTGAGGCTGTGGTCTGAAATGGTAAAATTAATGTTAAAAAAAATTATTCTTTTTTTTAAAAATGTATTTATTTCCAATTTAGAGGCCACCTGACTCCCTGACTACTCTGGGCAGCTTACAGATAAATAAAACAACACACAGAAATACAAGCAAGAAAGAACCGTGGCCAGCCAGAAAAACAACACCCAGGCCATTTGGCAGAGATGAGAAAGGCCCCCCGCCCCCCCCCCGCTATTATTAGGGAATTTTCTTCCACAAATACTGAGAGTGGCATCAAGGCAGGGCCATTCCCAGAGTCTAAAGGGCCCACCTTTTTATGTCACCTTCCCCAGCTATCAACAGTTCCATGGTGTGATGCTCTTAACTGGGTTTGTTTTGTTTTTACTTGATGTCAGGTTTAGCCCAAAGAACTCCAAGAGACAGTTCAAAATCAATTCAGCTATTAGCTACAACCTCTAGCAAGAATCTTCCCAGACTGAAACCCCAGGTCCCAAGCCAGGCAGCCACAACACCGTGAATTCCTCAGGGAGGTGCCAGCCTCATCCTCTTGTGGTTCCCACGCTCTTTTGGTGAGCTAAGCAAACGCTTATCTCCCCGAGCCTGGCCTTCATAATTCCATTCCATCACACTTGGTTATCTGGAACACACTTATAGCTACAGGTAGTTCTCACTTAACAACAGTAATTGGGACTGGACTTTCTGTTGCTAAGCAATGTGGTTGTAAAGCACGACGTCATGTGACTGCGCCGCTTAGCAACTGCAGTTCCAGGACTTCCAGTTGCCATCATTAAGTGAATCCTGTGCCGCCCTTAAGCACAAGGTCACATGGTCACCATTTGTGACTTCCTGCCGGCTTCCCCACTGACTTTGCTTGTCAGAAGCTGGCAGTGAAGCTCGCAAATGGCAATCACATGACTGTGGGACTCTGCGATTATCGTAAATACACGCTGGTTGCCAAGTGCCTGAATTGCAATCACATGACTGTGGGGATACTGGGACAGCTGCACCTGCGAGGACCCATCGTAAGTCCCCCTTGTTCAGTGTCATCATAAGTTTGAACGGTGGCTGAGCTAGTAGTCTTTAAATGAGGACTACCTGTATTGCAAACTGTTTCAGGATTTTCTGTAACAGAAGTGGAATAAAGAACACTGAAAAAATAAGGAAATGCAATACAGTAAAGCTGAATTCTGAAAGGTAAATATTTGCTTTAAAACTGAGGAGGGGCCCTTTTTGTGGTCAGGGCTGTACTTCTCTATAATCAATTTGGGGGATGATCAGGGGCCACAGGGCACATGACAAGGCCACAAAGACATCACCTGGGGCTCCAGAGAAGAATTTTCAGCTTCTTTGAAAAGTAATTATTTGTGAGTTGGGTTTTTGGTTTTTGTTTAAATTAATACAGGCATAGCAAAACATACAATGCAGACATCAACCTTTTACAGTTCTTTAGGTTAATGTCCTATTATGCTGTAGGGCCTAAGAAGCTAAGCTGCAAATCAGAAAAAAGGACAGACTCAAACAGCTAAGGACACATTTAGACTATTCTTATGGTATGCTGGGGATGAGACAAAGGCTGAATTGCAAGAACATGCCCTATAAAAACAGTGAGTGGCTTGTGCAGACAAGTCCAAGTCCCACACCAGATCACAGTCAACACTTAGATTTAAATCAACAGCCACCTCCAGTCTGATCTGTTCCAAGAGTAAATGCTCTAAGACACAATAATTTGTCAGCATTTCAGTCAGGTGGGCAACAAACACATCTCTAGATCTCATTTATTTCTGTGGCCAGATAATGCTGCCCACAGTGATTCTGTGAGAGAATCCAATCTTCCAACTGTTTCCAAAACATCTGACTTTCCACCCTCTTTGATAGCAAGAGCAACACCATCCTTTCTGACAAAGTCAGACAGATTCCCTCCCTTCCACCAGGCTTCTGCTACAGCCACTCCACCTGGGTGTCTGAATTTCCTCATTTCGGCTCAGAAACACCTAGCTCTGGCAGAGGAACACTTGTACACCATACCCTTCTTGCTGTTGGGGTGAGCCTTTAACTTTCCTGGCTGTCCACTCCACCCATTAACCCACTTCATTTTTATTCTCTCCCCCCCCCAACTATTTAAATAGGTTAATATCTATACTTCACATATCAGTGGATCTCAAAGCAAAATATGATAATAAACCCCCCACCCCCAATCTCATTCCCATAGGATGGAGAGTTAAGACCAAAACCTTGAGAGAAGAGCTTACTCATTTGGTACAGAAATAAAATGAACGTCCTAATCTCCAAGGGGGAGGTGTTCCACAGTGGTGAAACCACAGCTGATAAGACTTCAAATGCTCTAATACAGAGGAGAGTCTACTATGCCTATGAAAGAAAGGAAGCAGCAGCTACTTTAAATGCTAGAGTTCCTTTAATATTCCATTTGATTGGTTGTGTAATGGAAAAAGCATTTCCTCAAATACAGAGTTCCTAATACCCAAGGAATGAGTGCTGAACTTTTTTCGCACCAAGGCCACACTTGTCCTTTGAATGCCATGCGGTGGCACACTCAAAAAGTAGGCAAGGCCAGGACAAAGAGAGGTGATCAACTTAATTATCTTCCTCTACTGTCCAATTAAAAGTTGTAAACATTCACTAGCCACTCCTTCACTGGAGTTGTAACATCACTACAATTACATTTCTCGTATTAGTACATGAAAAATGTCATCCTGTCTCTCAAGTTGCCAAATATACCAATGGAATAATAATGATTTAAGATTGGTAATGTCTATAAAATAGAAAACAATTGTTAAAAACTAAAGGGTAGGCAAACTAATTAAAAATGGAGTATACATTCATTTTTAGTATAATTTTTAAAACTGCATTGTTAATCAATTCACTAATCATTGTAAATGTTACAATTTTATAGTATTTATCCCACAAAAAATGAACTCCAAAAACAAGCTCCTAGAATTATGATTACTATTTATTGAATTGATATGCCTCCCAACTCCCAACAATTCTAAGGATTCATTCATGTGTAATTTCACCTATGACGACTTGCCTGCTTTGCCCGAAGCAGATCACTGGTGAAGACATGAGTAAATCTGATATGACGGAGATACATCCCAGCTGCATCGGCTTGTTTGAATCCAGTGTCTGAGAGAGGCTCGTCCACACCTTGACCTGCAAGAGCCACCATGGAAATGCATCCTACAGTTAGAACAAGCATGTTTTAGCCCTCATCAGCTGCTCCTCTCCAGAGAATGGGGACAAGCATTAAGCTACAAACAGAGGCCCTTCTAAAAGAGCTCTGGCCATCTGTGAAAGAAGTCAAAAGTTATGCAGCTGAATATGATGTATCTTCCTTTCTTTTGCCTTACGTTGTCCTAACTTAAAAACATCTGTTTGGTTATATGATCTTGTGAAGTGCCACATATGTTAATGGCTCAATAAATGGAATAAGACAGACAACCAGATTCAGCACTATCCTTATGTTTTAGTTTCATGAGGCTCTGGTCAGGAGGCAACCCCTAATCTGCTGGACACAGACCCCCAAGTCATCACAACCCCAACTGTAGAATCATGAAGAAGTTAAATTGTCACAACCAAGCTGATCAAGCTGAGTAACTCCCTGGTATACAACTCAATGATCATCTTGAAGCTACTGTAATTAAGCAATCCCCTTGGACAATTAGCAAGGACAAGTGGCAATTTTTAGGCAAGAAATGTTCCTATTATATAGGAGCTTGCCATTGTAAACTCATCAGCAAGTCCATGTCCATGTTTACTCCTGCAGGGAGGCCTTGAAAACAGACTCCCAAGCAGCTGCTTTGAGGTCACACAGAGAACAATCTCTTCTCCTGGCAGATACCCTTCTGTCACCGACTGGGGCAACACCAATCCAGGAAAGTGCAAACCTGCAAAAGAGAAGCCCCCTTCTTCACACTGTGGAAGCAGCAAAGTCGTTTTTCAGGCTCATATGGCTGCTCCTGGCTGTCTCAGATATATGTAATCGTAATAATTGGACAAAATAAAGCCAATAACATTTCAGTATTTAGTATCCAAATAAAAGAGGTAAAGGTAAAAGCCACTGTGATTTAATAACCATGAGAGACAAACCTTGCATTATCTTCTCTTTGTTGTATCTTGTTTCCCCACTGTGGAAAAACAAAACAGAAACCAAAAACTTGAAACAGAAGAAAACAAATTTTGATCCAGAGCCTTTAGCCAGGGATCTTTAGAGTTACTCAGCCCTTACAGCACTGACCCAGCTGGGGTATCACCGTCCTTCCCTGCTAACAAAAGACACAGCCCTCGCTGGTGGCGGGGATGAATGAAGAGGCACCAGCACATACTTCCTGGCCCTCTTAAGACACAGGGATCACTCCAGGAATCTACCAATGGCTCCTCAACCCTGACTTGATCACATGGACGTTTTCCCCCCTTCCTAGTATTTTCCCACAGGTGCAGGGTCTGCTTTTTCTGATTGACCGAATGTTGATCTGTTGGCTGCAACAGGAATTGACCAACTGGCTTGTTGCCCGTGCCTGATATCATGGGCTGAGAGAGGGGGACTGGCCCAAAGTAACCCAGCTGGCTTTCACGCCTAAGGCGGGACTAGAACTCACCATCTCTTGGTTTCTAGCTTGGTGCCTTCACCATGACACCAAACTTGCTCTCTACTTGATTACATGGACTTACCTCCCTAAAAAGAGTGGGAGAACTGTGAGAGATTAAGCAGGAAAAACTAGTCATTTTCCCAGCTGGAAGGACTGACATGAAACTGTAGAGTTTGGATTAGATACAGCCAGTGTTCTATGATCAAGGGGGAAGACTGAGATTACCAAGGTCTTCCAGTGCCAATATAAACAGTGAGTGAGAACAAGGGTCTAAGAGGGAAGGCTGACCATACATACAGAATAGGGAGGCCCAGCAGGAAGAGGACTTACTACATTCAATTCATTTCAAGGAAGATTTTTCCTCTCCAGGTTGAACTTAGACAAGAGGGTTCTGTTGTTGTTTTTCATATTACCCATCATTAATACTAACAAAGGGGGGGGGATTATGTTTATTAAGAAGACTGATGAACCGATAAATGTATAGAGCTTTAAACAAGAAAAAAGACAGCCCAATTTAAATAATCAATACTTAATTTAACATACAATTTAATTAGAAAGGATGAAAGCAATCCAGGATGACTCCTTGGCTGAGGGACACCCTCTGAGCTCTGTGTTCAATTATCTGGTCTTTCTCCATCAGAATTCAAGATAGGGTATAGAAGGTTAGCAGGTTACAGCCCTCTGTTTGTACTGACTAGGGTCTAGATCACCTTGGCATCAGCCAGGTTGCCACTTGAAAACAGACTTTCAGATTAGGTCTGGAATTTTTTTCTCATGCTTCACTAAATAATTTAATACAACAGTAAAAGTAATCAATTGACAACAAAATGATACTGTGCAATGTCCACATTAAGGTATTCAAACTGTAACTCTTAGTTAGAAAATGCCTTTAATGCTTGTGAAAAAAATCAAAATTGTCTGCTTCATTTTCACTGCTGTTGATTCAAAAATCCATAATTACAAAAATATAATTTTAAAAATCTTTATACTGGAATCTTCCTCAGTCTGGCAAATGCCATCTTTGGAAGGAAGATTTACTGCTTTCAATGTAAGACAGTCTCTACAACAGTATTCAACAGTGTTTCTACATAATTATGGAAGATTCTGGTTGAACCCCCATTTGTGTGCCCTCCAGAGCTTCCCAAGACTGCATAGTCAAAATTTGGAAGCAAAACTGTATTCTGGAACAGCAGAATGTCTCATATTTTTGAATTAACAACTAAAAGAGCTGGATGAAGTGTCTTCTACGCTTGAGAGAAAGTAAATGCTGAAGACTTTGGTCCAATATATTTATTATTAGCATCACTGTGGCCCTCAGAGGCCAATATTCTCATTTTAAAGGCTGTCTGCCCTTGAGTTATAAAGACAGAATAAAATCCTAATGTAGACTTGTAGTGAATACAGGCTTTGTGATCTCTATTTAAATTTTTGGGTTTTGCTTTTAATATATTTCATCCATACATACATACATACATACATACATACATACGTGTGTGTGTGTGTGTGTGTGTGTGTATGCTGTTGCACAGGAGATTAGGTCAGGGAGTGAAAGGGATCACAAAATGAACTGTGATTTACACAGTTGAGAATCTTGCGTAATCAGGGCTCCCAACAAAACACATCTCTAGGAATCGTTCCCATGAACGCAGAAGAAACCCAAGACTGGAGTGGGGGCTGGGGGTTTCCTAAAAAGGGAGATACTAGAAACAATTCCAGTGAGAGGACACATGATTGCACAAAAAGCATTGTGAAGGTCTGTGAACGTGAAAGGAAGCATATAGTAAAACTAAGGGCAAGTCATCAAGGAAGAGTACAGACATTCAGCCCAGATTTGTAGAGACGGTATTAAGAAAACAAGTTCAGAATGAGTACAGTTTAACAAAGGCAGTTTCTTCACGTTCATTCAAAATAAAAGTAAAATTGTCATTATACCACCTGCTTAATGAACAGAGCAAAATGCTAATGGGTAACAAAGAAAGCCCATATTGTGGCTCAGTCTTCTCTAAGGGATTCGTGCACTTGTCAAGAGCTGTTTGAAGGAGCAGTACACCAGCTTAAGCTCCATAGTCCATGACTATCTACTGACCTTGAATAAACTGCTACCTCCAGAACCAGGCGCACTCCCCCTTAGGATATTAGAGGCACTGGCTGATGGCCTAGCCAAATCTCCATCCATTACTTTTCAGAAATTCTGGAGAATGGGTCACTTATCAGATGACTGGAAGAGAGCAAATATTGTCCCTAACTTCAAAAACGAAAAGGAGAACCAGAGAAACACAGGTTAATCAGTCTCATACCAACCAACACCTTGGAAAATTCTAGAGCAGGTCATAAAGCGATTAATCCATAAACCCTTTTAAACAATGAAGTGATGATTAGAAGTCAGCATGGATTTGCCAAGAAATATTATCAGACTTGGTGTTTTTTGGGATGGTGTAACTTCCTTTGTTGAATGTGGGAATTTTGTGGACATCATACAAGTGGACTTAGAACCAGAGGTTACCCAATGAAATTGAATCCTGGAAGAATCAGGACAAAGGAAATATTTTTTATACAATGTATAGTTCAACTTTGGAATTCGCTACTATGAGAGGTAATGCTGACTACCAGGTTGACTGGCTTCAAGAAAGGGTTGGACTAATTCATGGAAGTCATGGAAATCAATGGCTACTAGCCTTGATGGCAGCGTGATTGCCACTCAAGGCCAGCTGCTGGGAGACTAATGGAATTGGTTGGCCACTGTGCAGCTAGTTGGCCACTATAAGAACAGACTGCTGGACTAGATACGCCAGGGATTCAATCCAGTAGGGCACTGCTTATGTTCTTATATTTAGAAAAGCATTTAGCAAAACACCTCATGATACTCTGATTACCAAGCAATTGAAGTATAGGTTGCATGGCAAGCTCCACATGTGAATCCACAGCTGGCTTGAAAACTGTAGTCAAAGGGTGCTTATCTATAGTTCTTCATCCACTGGACTGAGGTATCAACTGGGATGCCACAGGGTTTGGTCCTGATCCCAATACGCTTCCACATTTAATTAGTTACTTGGATGAAAAGGCAGAAGGAAAGCTTAGCAAGGGCACAGCTGACAAAATTGGATACAACAGCTAATACCCTAGAAACAGAAACAAAATTTAACATGAATGAAATACAGGATGGGTGGCTCCCGACTTGGTAATAATACACGTAAAAAGGATCTGTCACAAATTCTGTGAAAGTCAGCAGTGTGAGAATGTCTGTTAAAAAGGCAGCTTCAATAGAAGCATTGTTTCCAAAAGGAAATAATTAATAATGGGCAATAATAGTTCTACTGAAATGGTAAGGGCCACCCTGAGTACTGCACTTAGTTCTGAACACCAGATTTGAAGAACAATTCAGAGAACTAGAACAGGTGCAGAGAAGCACAGCAAGGAGAGACTGAGAAAAGTGGTTATCTTTAGACTTGAGGGGAAAAAATCACTAAGGATTTTTCAAGGGGTACTATACAGAAAGGATCTATTCCTTGTCACTGCAGAGTACGGGACTTGGAACAACCATCTCAAGTTACATAAAGGGAAGTTTCTGGTTGGATGCTAGGAAAATCTTCCTAATGGTTAGAACAGCTAAGAGTAGAACCATTTCCAGAGGAAGATATGAGCTCTTCTTCACTAGATGTATTCAAGGAAATGCAGGACAGCAATCTTTGGGAGATACCTTAATTTGAATTTCTGCATTGAAAGGTTCTTTCCAGTTCAAGGATTCCCAGAGAGGTCAGCTGAGCAATAGTTACTGGAGGCATGTTGTACACTAAGGTACTGCTGAAGAGTACCTTTGGTAATGTTGTATTCAGGGACGATGAGGGCTACTCCATATTCGTTTCAGTGGAGCAAACTGAAACTGTTGCATTATTGTTTTCAGTCTTGAATGTGGTCTAAAATGAAGTCCACCCGTAAACCTGTGTCCTCCCCCTGCCCCCTGAAATCCATGGTGTGGATAGGAGTAGTTTGACTTGCATTCACTGACCAAGGAGGACTAGAGGGCCTTCTGTAAGCCCTACACTCTTACAGGAGAGCCAAGACCTTGAAGAACTGAGTTTCCTGGAATAATCATGTGACATGAGGTCTGACTTGGTACAGTATATAAAGTATAGATTACCTATCTTGAGCACATGGTGCAGTAGCAATAGGCCTTTACTGGGCACTCAGGAAAGATCAGAGATTCTGCTGATATTCATCTGACTCCCTCTCACCAGTGATGGAGATGGTTTCAAATTGGCTGCTGAGGACCTTCAGAAGTCCTCTGAGGAAATTTAACATACATAACGACACCATTGGAATTGGGGTGTCTCATGATTCCAGATACTGCTCAAAAGTGGCATTAATCGCTGCCTGGCAGTTAGATCAGGGGTAGTATGTAGTGGAAAGGTGTAAAACTACAGCGAACCACCTGAGCGATATGTCCACAAACTGGGTAGTAAACTGCGAGCCCTACCTGAGCTGGGGCATCTCGGTACACAGATATTGAGTACAAGAAGTGGAAGTGGAAAACGCTGAAAGAAAACCTAAGCAATGTCTCAAACTGATGGGGCAGCCATAAGCCAGCGATCCACGCAGGCAAACAGATAATCGCGACTGCATTGTGGCCTTCCGCGGAAAAGCGATGAAGTCCACGGGGATGGCCTTCGGTGGGCCAGACGCTCAAGCGGCCCCGCGAGCCTGTCTGGGCGAGGAAAACGGCCGCCCCCGAACAGAGCCCCCGCGGGGGAGGCGCCTCCTTTTCTGCGCCAGGCGATGGCGATGCGGCCCAGACGCCCCTCCGCCCCGAAGCAGCATCCCACCCGGGCTCCTCCATTGCCGCGCTTCTTCGGCCCAGGCTCGGCCGCAGGCGCAAATCCCCCGCGGGAGAGGCGGGTCGCCCCCTTCCCCGGGCCA